TTATCACGTTAGCTGTGCCAGTAATTTCATAGCAGGGTTAATATATTTACTGCAAGCATAACAACAGCACTAACCTCAGCAAATGCTATTATAGCAGTAGCTTTACAGAAAAGGATGAAACATAAGCACCCAGGCAGATATGGACCCTCCCACTGGGCAGGGGAAGTCCTCCTCCCTCCCTCCCTCTCTTCCCCTGACTGTGACCTAGATGTGAGCAGTTCTTGGCCAAACCCAAAGGGTGGGTTAAGGCCCACTATCAATGTTGACAAAGGCACTATCTCATGTTCCTACTGTTGTATAAAGTTATCTAAATATATTCTGCTAGCAAAGGTTAGCACAGAATAGTGATTTAACTAAATATCATGGCTAGAAGTGGAGACTCAATAGACAGAGGGGTACTACCTTCAACTAATACCACCAAAACTAATTGCTGGTTTGGGAATGCACAGGGACGACACACTCGGTTCTCATCATCCCCACAAGCCCAGCACAACCTGCCTACCTGCTGCATCTCCAGGACATTAGCAGGAAATAAAGGTGGTTGTGATTTTTCCAGGAACAGAGAAAGCTTCATTCACAGCTCCTGCCACAGCAAACGTAATCCTCCTCTTGTGTCTGTATCCTCACAATGATGATGTGCAACAACACGAAGTTTGGCATGCATTATTAACAGTTAACAGTAAGAAACACCAGAATGAGGTGAAATTACCACAGAAGAAAACCTACAGGAAAATACCTACCCTCAGAGTTAGCAATAAATTCCACCTTGATGATTAAAGTTAAAATTGGTATCTGAGACTTCAAGAACAAAGGGATGCATTATTCTCATCATCTTTTTCTACTTTGAGGTAGCAGGAAGGGGAACAGCTCCTCTGTTTTGTTCCTTGGTGACAGAAAGTCGGAGTCACCACCACTGCATAACCTAAAGCAAAGTGTGAGTTGTCAGAGACACTTTTACTATGGCAAATGTTAGTGAAGCAATTACAGATTTTGTAAAGTGTACCTTGGAAAGAGGTTACTGGTCACAACATGATTTTCTGCACTGCTCATGGACCCGGCTTACTGTTCTGCACACTTCCATCTAATTTGGTGTCTAATGAGGTATTACTCATAAAAGAGGTCACTCATGTCAAGAGGAGCAATAGTTTCCAGAATAGTCTGAGTTTTTTCTACACATATTAACATTTTCCCAAGTACTACTCCAGCTATTTGAGATGTAAACAACTATTTCAAGTACTGCCACTTCATTCAATGCTGAAGCAGCTTTGTGGCAGCAAAATCTGGGGATTTTACTGTAGCAAACCTCAGCTTTGCTGTAATCCAAGAAGAATCAGGTGTGGTTAGGGTAAGAAATATGTTGTAGACAAAGGTTAAAAGTATTTCACCCCAGCATTGGCTGCTGGCTGTAAATCTCAGAGAACATTCACCAAAAAAGGGTTTCTGGAGACTTCTGTCTTGAATTTGACTAGTTGTGAGTGTGGGAAAAAAGGAAGACATGACATGAAAATACTACAGTAGGAAAAAAAAAAAAGGGGGCAATGACAAAAATCTGTCTTTCAGCAGTGCTTGGGGCAACTTCGATGATACATGCTTAAACCCCTCCAGGTTGTCTTACCACCAAGCAGTGCTACCTTCCCAGCTATAACCCAGGCACTGATCCCTCAAGACTCATGTTCCGCAAGTACTGGAAAGCGTTGTCAGAGAAATCCAGCATCTCCTTTCAGCTGAAGCTGCATCTTGTGCTTTAATCCAGATGGGTGGTCACAAAAACCTTAGGAGAACCTGTAGGAGTTTAATCTGCAGAACTGATCAGCCAAAACACAAATGTCCATATACACAAGTATATAGTAAATTGCTCATTTCCCTCAGATGTTTGAAGAGCAAGGAAAAATACTAAATTGTCTTCTGGGATATTAGACATGTGCATGAACCTGTATGCTTTGCTAGGCTGGTTTAAGATATTTAGAAACTTCTCCGTTAACCTGAATAAAAGAAATTAAGAAAGGGAGATCTAATGGCTTGCTGCCTTTTTTTTTTTTTTTTTTTTAATTGCTCTGAAAGACTAAGCTATAAAGTGTTCACCAAACAATCATGCCAGAAGATTTCATTAAGCCTTTTTAGGGTTTAGTGCTTATTAAATAAACTGTCATTAACTTAAAGAAACAAATTAATGGAAAACATATGAACCTTTTTAAGCTGTGAAAGTAATTACCAAATACCTGAACAGGTTTGATCTGACATAAAGTAAAACAAGTTTTAATTTACTGTGGAAACATGAAATCTATAAAGATTCAAATTTTGGGGTTTGCATCTTACTAAGATGATTATTCTTATACAAAAATGTTTATCACAGCATTTATCTTTAAAGCTCTCACTTTTGAGGGCATCAGAAAATGCATTACTTTCCTAAGTAGCATAAATCTGATAGTTATGGTGAGGAGACACCAGTGGATGTGCAGGTCTTGAAGTTGAAAGCTTCATGCAATCATGCCCTGAAGTGCAAATGTGCAGTTTAATATGAACAAAACTCTACTTAGTAGCTTAAACTGTAAAGCAGTCATTTTTTGCCTTTGTAGTTAACTGTATGTTACCGAACACCATCTATGCATATTTCTTTTCTGGTTACTTTTTCCAGAACCCACCAATTAAATAAAAGTAGTGGTTTGAGAGGAGAAACACCATTAATTTGCTTAATTTAAAAACCCCCCAACCTTTTAAATAAAAAGCATTTGCAATGATGAATTTGAAGCAGATACTAAAACAATTGGACTCGGGAACCTGCAGTGCTTACTCCTGAGACCAAGTGGTAAATCTCATTTAAGGACAGGGTTATTCTGTGCAGAAAACTTGGTTTATACACACATAACTTAAAAGATGCATTGTGATTAATCTCACATAGGGAGAAAGCTGTCTGTATGGGCTCTGTCTTTTTTTGGCCCTTAAAATAAAGATCAAAGGCAGGGATAGTTCTCTCACAGTGGCAAGAGGCTAAGGTTCAGGATATTGTAACAGCACCTTCAAGCAGAACCATGCCCAGGGCTCCTGAGAAAGAGGAACACCCAGACATGTCCCTGTCTCACTTGAGGAGGCGGCCTCTGAAACAGAAGCATCCCCTCACCTCTCCTAGTATTTACCCAAACTACCTCACTGGAGGACACAGCCTTTCTGCCCTCAGCAGGGACCGATGATAGCCTCAGTGTTCAGAAATGAGCACCCATTACTTCAGTGGCCTTTGATAAATACTGGGGAAAAGCCTGTGGGAGAGCTCTAACACCCCTTGCTACCAGGAGGCATAAGGCTGCTCAAAACTTCTGCAGTTCTGAAGGAAAAGGTCACACAATGCCCTAACTGGCTGATGGATACATGCCAGGCCCAGGGAGAAATCAGTTTCAAAGTCAAGCAACTAGGTATAATTCAGTCAAACACAGCTTGCTGCTTTTTTTTTTTTTGTTTTGTTTTGTTTTAAATGGAGGGGTTGTGACTGTGCAAGTGCTCTGGTAAAAACTAGTATTTAACCTTTGCTGGAAAAAACAGCAGGTACGTCAAAGTTGTTGCAGAGACCATTACGTACACGGAAACTCTTTTTGCACCTTTCACAAGCTTGCCCTTATTTCCTACATTTGGAAAAGAGAAAAAACATGGGAAAAAAATGCAAAAAAGGACAAAATTAAAAGAAAAAAAGAAAAAAGCACCTCAGAAGAAATTAAACACCTCCAGGAGACCCATAAGTGCCTTTTGCTTGCTAAGGCTCAGCTCCCTTGAATACAGTCACATAGAGCAAACTTCGTCCCTCCTGCAGTCTTTTCGTTGCTTCTCTCCCTTAATGGGAGGAGAGGCATGTGGTACTCTCCTCCCTCCCTCCAACAGACCACCATGCCCTTCAAAATAAAACAAAAAAAAAAAAAAGGGGAGTACATACTTTACATGGAACATTTAGTTTATTCTAAGTAACACTTTCTGAAATCAAATCCTTTCCAGTTAGAAAAAAACACAAGTTTTGCTGCAAAGATGACAGGACATCATCAGAACTTTTATCCACATTTTCTTTTGAGAAAACACCTTTCAGAAAGTGAGGCCATTTCCCTAGCCTCATGTCTAAAAAGGTGCTGTGTGTGGATGCAGTATTGCTCTGTTTGATGGGATGCATCAGGGCACTCTTTCTAGAGTTGAGTGACTGTAGCAGCTGTACCAGGATACACAGATCTATATATAAAATATACACACACACACAAATGTAGCAAGAAACAAAGCAGTTCCTCCAGTTTTTGAAGATTCATCTTGCCCAGGAGCATTAAGCCTGACTTGTGTGCACCAGTGTAGCAATTCTTTAATACAAGAGATGGACACAAAAACCCAAAAAACCTTCTGTATGTTAGGAATGTTGCAATTTGCCCTGCTTCATTTATGTTGTTGGAACAACATGCCAGAAGTTTTTAAGTCCCTGTAAAAAGACTATCCTTTCCTCTAGACTGGATCAGGTTTCCACACCAGAATTCCTAAGTTTCAAATAAAATTAGGTAATCCATGCTTACTTAATTACTGGGAAGTTATGCTTTATGAAAAATAAAATAACAACTAAGTGGGATGTAGAAAGCCATTTATACTAAAGGAATGAATCCTGTAATTTTTCTTAAGTTTCTAGCTTCAAAGTTTTCAGGGAGATAGATTTACATTCAGGTCAGGAGTTTCTGAACTGCTGTCCCATCCTATGGACCCCCACCTTTCAATTAATGGTTAACCAGACAGAAAAATTTCCAAATGAGAAGTACTTTCATTTACATTCATATTAAGTGGCAGTTTTGGGGCTGGTCTAGGGACTGGGTGATCCTTGCTGAGCTTCCTATGCCTTCCAAGAGTAGATCTAATTCAGCCTAGGGTCCATTCCCATCAACTACCGTGATCCTCAGTAGTAAGGATTTCAAACATTTTTTATGTGCATTAAACTTGCCTCAAAATCAATAAAAACAAACCAAAAAAGCAGTCAGTAGGTACTGTTTCTGTGCATTTCAATTTAGAAAAAAGGTCTTCATGTATTTTCATAAAGGCCTCTTCTGGGTTAGAGTACTCATAAAATGTACATTTACACTGTTATCCCTGAAAAGAAATTAATTTGGTGTCAGTTGGGCGTGAATAAATTACAAACATCACAACCCTACCAAGAAGCCACTGAACCATTTATTTTTATATGAAAGCTTCAAATATTTTACAACCCTTCTCCCCGAAGATGTAAACACATGCCTTTAAAAGCAGCAATTAATAGCGTATCACTGGCTATACGAGAAAAAGGACACTCAGTCAGCAGTATATTATCCCAGCAAACTAGATATTCTAAAACCCCATTTCTGTCATCTAGGGCAATGGCATAGCTACCAATACTCAAGGCTGAGTTCACACACACACAAAAACTGTACACTAGTTACTCCAGCTGGTAATATTGTTATATTTTATTTATTTTTTAAAAAAATTAAGTTACAACTTTCTCTTAATGAAAAGCAAACTGGAATTTGAACTCTTACTCTAAATGTACCAAAATAAGCACAGTGAAAGTCAACCGTAGACTGCAAACAACTGTAAACTAAGATTTATATTGTTGTACCAAAAGCTGAGTTAAAATAGAACAAATAAAAACACCAGACAACATGCATCATATTCTTCCTTCAAAGATCAAGATGTGAACAAAAGCTTGACCTCCATTATGTTTTCTTCAGTTGGTTAGAAAGAACATGAACTAAAAATTTAATGTAAGCAACTGCAGAAATTGAGCTAGAAGGATGAGGCAGCCTTGAATTTCTTACAGACTTCTCACTTCTCTTTTTATTGAAAGGGAATGAGAAATATGGACCAGATGAATACACAACTGGACTACTCTGATAAAAAAATGTATTGTGGCAATTCAGTTACCTGAGAAGATAGTTACCAGTATTGCAGAAATCTTTAAGTTCTCAAATGACATTAAAACAACTTAGTACACTTTGAAATATGTGATCCCAGTGACTAACCAGAGACCTAGGAATACTCATCTCTATATTAAAACTGAAAAACGTAAGGAGAAAAATACCTGAAACAATTAAAAGGCACTTTTAGCTGGCATGTGTTTTGTTACATGCTACAGAAAACCGAGTCAGATATGGCATTATACTGAATCTTATAGTGGTCCAAGCAGTATAATCGTATACACTGTTAAATATACACACGATCGTATAAATAGTCAATTTGCAATGCCAGCATAGTTAACAGGAAGAAATTCACCTTTTCTTAAACTTAAACAGTCAGGTTTCTAGTAAAGACATTTTAGACATTATTATAATGTTTAACATTATTGCATGCAACACTGTCTAAAAGTTTTATAGCACCTCCATGTATCGCTAGGCAAGAAACAGTCCTGGTAAAACAGTTGGAGAGAAATTCTCAAGCCATCAAGTCTCCTGTCGCACGCGAAATCGCAAACATCCTCAGTAACTGCACACCTGGACAAGCCAGATGTTTGTATATAAAAGGCAACTTTATTCATATACCCGTAGTCCTCTGTACAAAGATCTGACCCTCAAGTTTTAAAACACACAGACACTGAGGGGCATGCTAATGACAGACTTAAAAATGAGACCTATTATTTACCTGATTTCAAGAGGTGCCTTTCAAAGCCAGCTAGACAACTGAAGTGTAAATCCCACCAGAAATTAAGAGCTGTTCCCACCATTTGGACATGATTGTTGAATTCAGACTAATAAAAAATATAAAATTAAAAATCTAGGCTATCCCTATGGATTTATTCTCATTCTTTACATTTCAGGGAAACTACCTACTAGAAGTAATCTGTCATCTTCACCCCTTTCTTTAATCCTTATTAAATAACCCAGCATCTCTAACAGGGAAAGTGAAAAGCATTAGTAAACAGCTGGATGGCCACAGCATCATTTCTTCACCGAATCCTTACTCTTTTGAACCAAAAGCATAAGATATTAGTAAACTGTGAATCTACAGGCTTCCAAACAGACACGCAAATTGGTTTAGATTTTTGTAACTGGTTTTGTAAAAAATTAAAGAAAATACCGTCTTTGGTGCAAGCTCACACAGTGCTATCAAGTATAACATCAACTGGAAATTAGAGAAAACCCGTAATTTTACTTCCAAACTAGAAGAGCCCAAGCTCAAGCATTCACACTGATTTACACCCATGGAGCTCTTCCAGGCAGCACACATGGTCTTTCACTACACTTACATAGTACCAACATGCTAAATATGATGAGTTTTCAAGCAGCAAGTGGTGAAAATGACAGTGTCTCCTCCTTCGCTCAGACATCGGCAGATCGTTTAGACATCTGTGCAACCTGGAGCTGCCTTAAGATGATGATGGAGCCTACACCTTCCAAGACTTATCAACCAACACTCAGGAACAAATGACTTGCCAGGAGAAACTACTGGACAAAACACTCTCTCTATTAATGCCACAGTTTCAGGCTGGCAGTTAGAAATTAATTTTCCTGATATCTTCATAATAAAAAGCAGGAGTGTACCTTTGCCACCTGTTTCATAACCAAAAGCACATCTAGTGTTGGAACATCTCAAGCGGTTTTGAGTGTGCTAGGTGTTCACTCTAAAACTGAAAGCTATCAACAGCTGAAGTTAAAAAAAAACAACAAAAACCAACAAATGAACAACACACATACAAAACAACAAAACACATTTAAAAATAACACTCGTCTTCAGGTTTTTTCCCTAGACCCCTGTCCTTACACCTGTATTTCCACAGGAAACTGCTATATTTGGTGTAAAATTACTCCGCTAAACCATCCTGTTCTTTATTTTCCAGCAAAGACATGCTTGTATCTCCATTATTCTTTTCATTTTTATCTCCATTGTCCTCCAATTGCTCCGATTTCTGATGAGCAAATGTGTAAGTGTCATGGTCTGTGTCTGTCAGAGGCAGAGGTTCCTCAGTGTTAGAAGAGCATTTAATGTCTTTTCTGAAGGAGAACGGAGGTGGAGAAGGTGGCAAGCTACCAATGGGTCCATCAAAAGGCCGGTACACGTCAACTTCTGGAGCAACAGAGCCATTGGATTCCTTCAGCAAGTGCCCATAGACCATAGCATCATCAATAACTGCATAGACATGAGACTCATTGTTTTTCCTCCCTTTTGTGAATAAGCCTTGTTTTCCAGGCACCTGGGTATTTACGTTGGCATTGTACACTCCCACCATGGGATTCTGGCTTTTCTTCTTCCTGTTACAGTTGAAATTGTTAACAGGTCAGAAACAACACATGGCTGGTGCGTTTGGACTCAGTAAAAACAGCTTGTTTACCCATCCCAGCCACCCAGTGTCAAGTAGTCTACCTGGATGGAAGGCTCTACTTCCAATCTTAGGAAAAATAACTCTTGAGTCTAGACATGCCTTTTTAACAGAGCAGAAGATAACTTCATGCTATTTGGTTACCTACTACTGCTCTGCTGACCCTGAAGTTTCAAAAATTAACTCCAATGACCTCTCAGGCATGGAGGTTCCGGCTTTGCAGTGTACCATGTCTCCCAACATCCACAGACATTAATAGGACCTAGAGACCATCAGGTCCTCACAAAACAAGGCTGAGCATTACTGAAGACGAGTGAGATAGAGTGTCCTCAATGAAAGTCGAATGAACTTTTCTTGGTTGCACTTTCTGGAGTGACTGTCCCCAAAGTGGAAAGACCAAAGGCTAAACTGAAGATTTTTAAGCCTGTATTTGTCAAGTCTTTCCTGTATGGCAGAGAAGTGAGCTCATGGCTGCTCTAGTCATCACATTGCACAAATTCATTCCAGCTCTACAGCTTCAGGACCCAATCACCTTGGCAGCACTGATCAGACATGTATCAGAAATCCCAAACTATTGATGACTTCAACTCTGCTTGCATGAATAATGCTATGACTGTTTTCTTTGCACAACCTAGTTCTCTCCGCAAGGGCTCATCGCACAGAAAAATGCTCCTACTTGATGTGCAAACTCCAAGAGAAGTTGCTGGAGGTTGCATAGATGAATGATAGTTCCTAGTATATCTGGGTGAGTTTACAGCTTGTTTGAATAAAATCTTGTCTAGAGTCACACGTGCAGCAGCCACGTTCATTGCAATTTCATTTCACAGGAATTGCTGATGAAGTCCAACCAATACCTTACTTACAGTATAGCCAGAAGCCTGTGCTAAAGGCCAAGGTAAGACAATGCACTGTGGACTGAAGTAATGCGACTCGAGGAATGCTGCTCTAAGCCTTAAAGTTAGTCAATTTAGTGTAAAGCAGCATTTCTGGACTCACATTAATTCCACCACTACTGCCTACATCATGCTTCAGAACCTTATTCAAGGGATCTATATCAACACATGAAACAGAGGGCCCAGCAGCACTCCCAAAATGCCTTCTTGAACTGCTAAGCTACACATGCCAAAATATTAACTTACTTCTTCTTAACACAGAACACAGTCAGTCCAATCGCTGCAAGAACTCCAGCCCCGGCCACCACAGCAAGTACCACTCCTAGGTCTGCAAACAGACAAGGTACAAGGACACTTAGCAAGAGACACAACAGCCAGCTTTCTCCTTAAAGCTGTCTGGGTCTGAACCTTCTCAAGAGTTTCTAAGCATAGCAGCTGCCTGCAGAGCAGGAGTTTCCAAGCTGTGCTCACTGTGGGGCAACATAAGCCATTTCCACGAGGTTGGAGGCCGAACAATAACAAACTCCTGCTGCTAGCAGTGGAGCACAATCAAAAAAACCCAACCAACCCACCACCTCCAAGAGTTCAGCTCATGTGCTGCTAAACTTAACCGCAGCATCTCACATGCCTCTGGCTGAACAGGCAGGGAAGAGAAGAAAGTGCACAGGGAGACAGAGAGGGATTCAACAGAGGAAACAGTGACATTTCATCAACTTCCCCTCAATACCATCCTTTCCTCTGAAATGCAAAAGTTCTCCAGACCTGGGCTTTTCTAGGAGTCATAAAATTGATCTGGAAAGTCCATGTATAAGCAAAGAAAAATGCCACATGTTTTAAAAGGAATATACATTACACAAAAGACTAAAAACTAAAAATTAATTTGATAGTGTTTCAGTTCTAGCCTGTGTAGCCAATACTTCTCCACACAGCAGTCTCCCACAGGTGAAGATGAAGTGCAAATGTGAAGGAAGTTTACATATGCAAAAGCTACCCTAAAAATACACCCCTCACCCCTTTTTTTTTTTTTTTTGACTACTTATGTTTCAGGGAGATAAAAGACAACAAGAATACAGTTTTTGCTGTTAGTGTCGGTGTTCATATGAGCAAGAAATCATCCCTGGGACAGGTCTCACCATATAGTGCAGAGTGCTCTGATGACTAATTGAACTGCTAACAGAAAGTAAGGACTACTTGGATGAATAAGTTGGCACAACCAAATACCAAGTCATTCACCAGGTCTGTGACCTTGGGAGGGTAAAAACATCACATCCAGAATGTATAAGATCAGGTGATCTTCAACTTAAAAAGGTAAATTTAAAAAAAAATAAATCTAGTCTTTCTTCCTCCAAGACCTGCAATCCTGTATCTCAAAAAAACCCTCCTAAAAACCACAAGAAGACCCCCATTACATTAAAACTCCTCATTCCTCCCCAGCTGTAACTCTCAGAGGTTTTTGAGGGACAGCTATTTCCAAGGGTAGGGATCCCGTAAAACCCACACCCAAGGAGAACCAGCATCCATTACTGCTCCCCCAGGGAAAAGAAAGGAAACAAGCAGAAAGCAAACCACTACAACACCTTACAGGACTCACCTATCTGCTTGTCAGCAGAAGTCACCCAGAACTGCAAGGTCAGCTGTGTCTTATCCACGGGTTTACAGTTGGAGACATTTACCCAGAAGTCATGATACATGTTTCGGGGCTCGGGCAGCTGCTCGTCCTCACGGCACACGGTCTCCTCCGCCCCTAGTGTCTCTTCCTTTATGTTGACATAGGCACGGCCTGTCTCACAAATGATGCCCATGCGATTCTTGGAGAACCCAAGGCGGGCAACTTGCTTGCTGGGCACAATGATGTACCAGGATATGGAGACATAAGGAGGTAGACCATAAGGCCAGTTGGGAGTCTGCAAGTAAACTTTAGCTTTTGCATCAGGACTCACAGTGAAAGCACACTCATCTGTAGCAAAGGAAAAGAATAAAGGAATGAAAACTTAGTTTTGATATTTCTTTTTAAAGCCTTCTCTTTCAGCATGTAAAATTATCTGGTTTTTCTTCTTCATAACAAAAAAGCACCACTTATACCTGTGATCAGCAAATTTATACAGTCAATTGCATCTCAGTATCAGCAACAAAATTCACCTATTGTCCCCTCTCCCATCAATAATTATCACAATTAGCACAGATATATATGCAGAATTTCCCACAACCAATTATCTACCACCTAGAGTACAAAGTTCCTTTCATCTTCCAGGAATAATCCACCTCACCGATTTAGATAAAGATTGATCCTAGCAATGGGTCCAGGACTAGACTCTACAGAATTGAACTCTTACTTATATTTGTTCGTACGTGCTCTAAGAAGCGTATCGAGAGATCCAACACGGCACAAAGTGGTACAAAATGCTACCTTACCTTTAATATGTGGCACAAAAGACATTTTCAGATCCTGATGGTTAGACTCATTAAGGAATCCTTTACCAAATGTTTTTAAGGATATGGTGATATTATTCCTCAACTGAATCTTTTCAATGGATCCACCAGGACAGAATACACCAACATTCAACTCTGCCTCTGGGGTGGCACTAACAATACTGTAACTGTAGCTTGTGTTGCACCTCTGCTCTGGGACGTGTTGCTGAAGTTTCAAGGACGGAGACGTAATTTCTATGTTGATCAGATCGGGAGCCAAGAGCTTCCAAATAAACTTATGCAGTCGAATTGGCAATTGGGTAATAGTCTTGGGCACCGAAAGGGAATAGATCTTCCTCTGACACCACCGAAGATCGACACAGCCTGCAATCACAAAAAACAAGTCCCAAGGGTTGTATTTTTTCTTGCAGAGGAAATAGCTAGGAAAAATAAGTTTTCCTGTGTACCACAGTACACACACACAGAGAGTACTGTTGGTTTTGTGTTACAGACCCAGATAAGCATCTGCCTAAGAATTTTTTTAATAGAAATGACACGTTTGAGTAAAAAGCTTTCCTTAAAATGGTGCACGACACCAAAGAAACCAACAGATACAAACATATTCAAAATCCCTCAAATCAAGATATTACTTTTTCTGTATCACTTGCTGATTGGGACACTGTTGCAGACTAGCCAAGATCCAGATATATACTTAAAAACTTTTTCTCTACTAGTAGTTGAAAGTATTTGGGAATATCCTACACCAAGTGGATATGCAAGAGGCACAAGACGCATTCCTGATGGCCACCTTGGTCCTGCATTTTCACGGGCAGATTTATGGCTCCCCTGCTCTGTTTCCATATTTTGCAGTTTTTCAGTGCGAAGATTCTTAGGTGCCTTCTGTCCTTCCCCTTTTAGGAATAGCTACACAGTTTCTATTATTAAAGGTAGAATGAGGTAATGAACAAGGTCATCTCCAGATTCATTGTACCCATCTTCCAGCTGGCCAACACCTGGTTTCTAACCACTCTATTTAAAGCCCAAGCAAGAGAAGGTTGGTTTGACCCCTGAGGAAAAGCATGCAAAAGCATTCTCTAGGAAACAACGTTAAGCCGCTTTTGTCATACTTATGCCTTTTTCAGCTGTGATCCTCAGATGGGACAAGTCCTTGCATAGAAAGGAGATCTTGTAAATGGCTCCAGACACCAAAGTCAAGACGCGGTCACAGGTGCGAGGATCCTTGCAGATCAGGCATATCGGTTCAGACATGAGCGGGATGCGGCTGGGCCACCCTTCAAAGTGTATTGTTACTGTCATATTCCACTCCTTGCTCAGGTCGACCAGATGGGTGACATCTACAATGAAAAACATCCCACAGCAATTACTGGCAAGAAGCATGGTGTGAAGCAGAACTTTCTCCATCTTCTCACCCCGTTAAGACGAGCAGCTGTCATAGCCATTTCTTTATGAGCTAAGAAAACATTATTTACTTCTTTGCATCAGTGTAGTATGAACTTAGGCAGTATCCTATCGCTTTCCTAATTTAGAGGTTTGATCCTTTCCACACACAAATCCCATTCCCCTACTACTTCCCAGCTCTAACAGTATAACACGCATGCTAGCCCCTTTTGAACAGGTTAGGCTATAATGTAAGGAGCTCAGCCAACTATGTTGGAATTGTTTTCCCTAAGAGGTTTCTTGCATTTCTTTTAAAGTCAATTCTACCGATCACACAACAGTTGATCAGAAAAGGCACCAACAGAAGGCTAAGCAATGCATGTGTCTCTCTCCCCCTCTGCTAAAGCACTGGTGAGGCATCTGCAAGTGCTGGGTCAAGTTTTGAGCTCCCTAGCACAAGAGACACATGGATGTACTGGAGTAAAGCCAGCAAGGAGCCACAAAGATGCTCAAGGGATAGAAGGATCTCTAATAGGAGAAGAGAATGAGAGCTGGGACTGTTTAGCCTGAAGGTGGTGGCTCAGGGGGATGTGGGCATGTGTAAATGATAGGGTGCCAGACTCTTCTCAGTGGTGCCCAGTGACAGGGCAAAAGGCACAAATTGAAATATAGGAAATTCTGCTTAAACATTAAAAAAAAGCCAGGTTGGTCAAACACTGAAACAGGCTACCCAGAGAAGTTGTGAAGTCTTTGGAGACACTCAAAACCCAACTAGACACAGTGCTAGGCAACCTGTTCTAGCTGACCCTGCCTGAGCAGGGGGTTTGACTAGACGATCTCAAGAGGTCCCTGCCAACCTCAGCCATTTCTGTGAGTCTGATATCCTAGATGACTGATAGAAACCATATCTACTCCAATCTAACTGAAAAATCATGAGCCCTACTTCCATGAGTCTCTTAAGCGTGCTCCATAAGAGCAACTCTTGCACAATACAAAAAATAGACACATTAAAGGGGAAAGGGTTATGATTTTTTTCTGACTTTCCCTAACCAACTGGCTTCAAGGCCTTGTCTTCCATCATGTACTATCCAGGGCAGCTACAGCAAGTCGGAACAACAAGGGTAAACAGGGATGACAAAAACCTTCTCCCGCATAAGCTAATGGCAGTTACAAATAGTCAGAACATCTGGAATGGGGAAGATAGGGAAAGAGGAAAAAAATCCCAAATCACAGCCTAGTTTAAAGATTAACTATCACATGGAAAGATAGATATTGGATCCACACAGTATCCTTACACTGTTAACAAGGCATGTGTCTCTGATGTCAAAAGAAAGCAACTTGATTAGTGGAAGGTGTTCCTGCCCATGGCAGGGGGGTTAGAACTAGATGATCTTTAAGGTCCTTTCCAACACAAGACATTCTATGATTCTATAAAGAAGATTAAAAAACAAATCTATACACATACACTATTATTACTTTTAATTTTCTGGTTTTAGCTATGGATCTCAAAGTCATAAACAAAAGGGGAATAAAATAGCTCTCTCCTGTGTGGAAAACTAGACACACAAAAAGGCAAAAGGTCAGATGAAATTCTCCAAGTCACTGGCACAACCAAGCACAGAACCAAGAATTTCTACCACAAGGTAACTCTTTTTTCAGAATTTTTTTTTTTTTTTTTTTTGGTAGCAGCTAAACACAGAGAGGGTTAGATCCAGAAGTTATTTCGACTGGAAAGAGCTATATTCTCCTCTTATTTAATGACAAGTGCCACAGACAGCTGTGGAATACCCAAATGTTTGGGAAGCTTTGAGAATATGCAGATACCAATACATTTTTAATAAGAACCATGTTTAACTTGCACACTGCAGATGGCATTTCTTGGTTTGGGGTTTTGTTTGTTTGTTTTTTAAATTAAAGTTTCAATACTGTCCTGAGGGCTGAATTTGAATCTTTGATGGGACTTATGTAAGTACAAAATCACTCATGAAATCCTACAAAACCCCTAGAGAAACCACCGTTGTCTCTTAAATCCAAGTGGTGTATTACTTACATTTCATTCAGTAAATGACAACCTATTTTTAATTTTTTAGGTGATTATCGTCTTGTCTACTGACCATAAATACATTAAAATTCTTCTTTGTTTTCCCAAGTAGAAGGGAAATAAAGCTGATTAACTGAATACAATGTTTTCACTCTGTCCAGCTTCCAAGATGCAACACACAATAAATGTAAGCAAACGTGATTTAGTTAACAACAATTTCAGGAGGATTTGCTGTTCATGAATGGAGCCAGGCTAGACTAAGAACTCAGGATTACAGTGGCGAGATGTTACAGACCCTTTCTGGATACGTGGACTTCAAGGTACAGGCCATTCAAACTTTATGCCCTCTAAAATTACTTCAAAGGCCTTCAAGTAGCTCCTGCTGCAGGGGGCCTTCCTCCAGACCATGGACTTTCCTCCACCTGCTCCTCTGCAGTGAGGGTTACCTTGATTATTGACCTCCACCAAGAACTGAGATCAGAGCTAAAAAGCCAGAGGATAAATCACTAACTTCATAGCTCATTACCTAGCCAGGCCTTTTATTTCTGTTTTTAGATAAATGCTCTGGTATTACAAATCATTGTGTTAAGCCATCTAATTCTGAGGCAAGTAAACAGAAAAAAAAAAATTTAGCATAGCAACAAGTAGCAAGAAACCTAAAGAACATCCAAATGTGCTGAGAATATTATCACTGACATTTTCCAGGTCTAGTGTGACTTCTTCACACTAGAAGATGTTCAGACTTCCCTAGGAAGCAAAATAAAACTCAGAGAAAAGAAGGAAGGAAGGTAAGAAATGCATATTGGTGCCATTAACAGTATGAAGACAATTCTACATCTCCAGTTTCACCAGTTCAGGCTAGGGATCATGATCAACCATGACAGCAGGTTTCACCTGGTCAAGCACAACTGCTTACATCCAGAGCAGAAACATGGGCTCACATTTTAAGAATTATCTTTAAACTGTTGAATCTTACAGATAAAAATAAAACTGTATGAATAAGCTTAAGCTTTATTTCTGTATTGGAGAACAGGCAGCAACATGTGAGTCTGGACAATTCCAATCAAGTAGTTGCAGCCCCTGCCCAATAGCTGGATCAGGCCCCCAGAGGGAACACAGTCACAAGGAAAGGCTAGCTGGTGCTTAGCTTTGCTTATACAACATGCAAGACCTGATACTGCAGGCATTAAAGGTATTTTTCAATTACATGACGCAGGTACTAGAAAAGGAAAGGAATCTCCATTTTCAAGCTACAGTGTAAAATCTACAAAGGAGCTTTATACTCCATTGCAAATTACAAATTTTAGCACCACTGTCTGCCTTGCCATAATGATGGCCAGTGGTAACCCAGGCAGTAAAACAGGCCTCCGTGTTGCTTGGCAACCCACCTCCTTAAACTCAAGGAAGATCTAAGGAAAATGACAAAAACCTCAGTATTTCTCTTTCTTGCGATGCTCAGCCCAGGCATCTGTAAGCAAAAGCAACAGAAGGAGCAGACAGGTACTTACTCTCATCAACCTGCGGGTGCTGAACGACAACTTGGAAGAGCAAGCGGAGAATGCCAGGGTTCTGGGCATCCTGATCACAGCCCTGCAGGGACAGGTTGAAACTGCCAGCGATATTGGCAGGCTGACTGTCGCTCAGCTTAAACACCTCTGGATTGCTGAGGGAGCCAGGGATGTAGTACTCCACCCTCTCTTCTTTCCTTTCACAGTTGGAGAGGCTGTAGTTGTGGAAAAACACGCTTGCTCTCATGTTGGAAGGAACCACAAACTGCCATGTCATGAGCTCGTCTTCAGGAAAGCCCAGTGGGTAGTTTGGGGACATCAAGGTGATTGAAGATTCCCCCTTCAAAATTGATTCAATAATGCATAACCCTAAAACGGGGCGGGGGGGAAAACCCATACAAAACAAGTTGTAATTAATGAAGACACACTGACATATCTAGCACCCCAGCAGCAAATTTTTATTTTGACAGTGAGATCATCCACTTCATCTACAGGTTATTACAAAACTCTCAGACTAAAACATACACTCGAGTTGATGCTTTGGTCTTCAATTACAGAAAAAGTAATGGAAATATTAATGCTGTATTTTCAGTTTACTGGGTTCACCTTTCAAGCACATGGACAGAGAAGCCTTTATTTTTTGGACAGGAAAGATCCAAGTTGCTACTTCTGACCCTGGCTTTACAAGAGCAAACACACAAACCGGTAACTCCTTCTGCTTCACTGGGTTTTGGGAAACAAAAGATGTGAACTTTTATACTAGCACAGAGCTCTCAGTCCGAAAACCTCCCAGATCTAAGAAGAGCATGCCAGCAAAGAGCCTCCTGATAAAACACGAGTGCGAACCCCAGAGGCTGTGCAAGACACTTCATGCTTGGATGACTCCTGTCAGTGTGAAGAGATCATGGTCCCACTCTAGGAATCCAGCAACCACGTGCAACTGCGAGGAGTGCCAGAATTACAGAAACTTGTGCTCTAGAAGCTCAAACATGGACCAGGTTTCTTTTATAGCTGATGGCAACAACTGCATAGTTCAAGTACAGAGGAAGAACATCCCCCAAGGAGTGTTTGTCATGAGATCAAAGTAACCAATTGATTGCTATGTAATATTACAGGTATTTTAAGAAGATTACTACACTATGTTTTATGTTACCATGCAGGTTGGAACACATAGCGTATCTGAGCAGGCTCAGGACCTTTCCAGGTGCTGCTTCCCCTTTTCCTACCTTCCTCTCCTGAAGAGAGGCATAGCATTGAGGCTCCAGAAGTTAAGGAAGCCTTATTTATACACACTGCAACCAGCAAATAATTCTCTTGGCTCATTCTAATTATTATGTCTAGTCTCACCTAGCTGAAAACACAAAACCAACAGAGCAGGTACGTTTAAGTTTCAGGAAGTTTAACGAGTTTGAAAACAAGTAATATGCACCAAAAGCAGCAACACAACAGTGTTCATCATTATTAGCCAAACTAAGATATTCTGACCCCAGAAGAGCACCGGCTACCAAACTAAAAACCGTACGACAGCTTTCAGAAAAGATGATGTGGGAGTTAGAGATAACAGACCAAAACTAGAAGGTTACCTGAGAAGAAAGGTTTAAATAATTCTGCTGCAATCTGCACAAAGTGATTACAGGTGAGGAAACACTACTCCTTACTTACGTTTTATGGAAGCCCTGTTAGCTATGCTGAAGCCTGAGGTGGTGAGAGGCGAGTCCCACGGGAGGTGCAGAGACATGACAACTCCTCCCAGCAGCTTGACACGAGACACCGAGCCATTCCTGCAGAAGGTGCCAATGTTGACTGTGGCTGTATCAATACAGCTGTTGATGTTGTAGCTAACAAAATCTGGGCATGTCTCTCCTGGTTCAATCTGTCTTAGCCACGGGGTTGAAAATTTCAGTTCAAGTCCAGCCTTTGTACTCGCCTTCACGTCCCAGATGAAAGTCCTGTTAAGGCGAGGTAGCCCCGGTGGGTAAAGATGAACATCTCCAAAGGGACACAGGCCTGATACACAGTCTAAATGCAGAGAGAGAACAGCCATAATACACTCTGGAAATCACTGAAGTAAACAAGGAATTTGACACTTTCCCCTTCATTGCTATTTTCACAATTTTTAGGTTGCACTTAATGTGCCTTCTACATGCATTAAAAGACACTCCTACAACACGGTCACCTGGTGTATCTAAACGGGACTCCTAGCCCATAAGGTAGACAGGATAAACCTGCTTTAGTCAGGCTGACTAATAGAAGTGATTCATTGTCTCCAGTATTCCTGCCTTGTTTGCTGAAGAATTTAGAAGGTATTGAGTGAATAGGGTAGAGTACTGAATGGGCAAAAGGGAGAAATTCAATGTCAGGAGAGCTAGAAATTACAGATCTAAAGAACTGATTTTGTTCCATCTTGCTCAGAGAATTCCTGGCAAATCATTCATCTTTAAATTTTCCACTGCTTGCCATGAACTCTATCTTCCTTTCCTTGGTGCCCTGATGAACAATCTGGGCCCTGCACTTTGCAGAAGTGGTGAATAACAACAACTGCCACTGCAGAATTCTGGAGAGAACTTAGGAAGTTTTTATCTGAAAAATCCAAATTATTGATATTTCAATCTGGACACTGAAAATAAGGACACTTTAATCTACGTTTAGGCTCCAACTTAGAAGAAATACCACAAACACATCTTACAAATATATCATGAAATGTTGTGACTGTTACTATATACATGAATTATATAAATAAAACTGCAAAAGAGGAAGAGAACTATCCTTGAACACCACCTCGAAAATATCAAAGATGTTACCAAAGACTGAATGCCCAATGAAGTTTGGGATCTTGTTGAGAAGTAGCACATGTTCATGACATTAAAGAGTACATTAACATACATACACCAGGGATAACACCTAAACCAAACAAAGCTTTAGTTACAACACTTCCAAATCTTTAGTTTCTTGACTTCAATAATGTTCACTAAATATAGGGAAACATGTGCGTGTCTTCAAAGTTTGAGGCTCTTATAGGCACAATCAAGCTGTCAAAACAAATAATGTGGGTAATATATCATTATTAGTGTTTAGAGGCTTTTGACAGGAAAAAATATTCTTTGATGGGTTTATAAACTGTGGGAAAAGGGAAAAAGGCAAGGAAGTGATGCAACAAACTACCATTTAACTGTTTCCAGAACAGCCAACCTAACATTAATTCTGCTAGCCATAATACAGACTTCATTAATTTGCATAGTTTTAGTAATTCAGGGTTATTTATCAGTGTTCAAAGACTTCTTACCCAAGACTATAGGGGATACCTTAATGCAGTAACAGGAAAAAAAAATGCATGTGCTTTTCCTACAGGAGCATTACCATTGGGGGAAAAAATTAAAAACCTATATCTTACCAATATTTTTCTGAATTTCCATTATAAAATACTTCTCTGGAGTACTACAAGTGAAGGTAAAAGTCACGTTGTCCCCTGGCTTTATCTTGAGTTCAGACCTGATGACATTTTTAACACGAATTTGACACCTTGGTAAAACACCAGGTCTCAGTTTAATCATAACTGTGATGTTGTCCACTGTACGAAGAGAGATCATAAAAGCAGCTAAGAAAAAAAAAAAAGTGTTTTGTTACTAGTAGGTACAAATACCAGCAGCCTCTCCACACTTCCCCACAGATGCCACATTGTCAGAACAAATATTCACATCCACGTTCTCGGAAGTCTCTGGTGTTGGACCAACAGAAAACTCTGCTTTTCCAGTCTGATGCAGACAACACAGAAATCCACTTGCTGCACACACCCAGAGAGAGGTATACATGGAATCTCTGTGGGACCAGTTCTGCTCCGGTTTACCTTCAGCAGTGTTATTTCACATTTAAAAAGTAGCTCAGCTATTCCTTTCAAATTTCTGTTGTCCCAGTTTGGGATTTTGTTCTGTTATGCCCATCATACAGCCTGCTTCATTTCTGAAGGCACCCATGAAGTCAGCTTGGGAAGTTTATTCAGCACCAAACAACAAAGCAAGCCTCAACTTCAATTGCACATGATGGTAACGGGTGAATCTCTGGCTATACCTCAACAATTACTGCAGACCAGATGAGGTATCCTGGTGATACCAAAAGCACGTACCCACAGACATTTACACGTGTGGTCGTGGTCCATTCCCACCCTCCCCACCTTTTACAACTCATTCCCTGCAGGTACAGGACATCTACGCAATGCCCCTCAGCAGCACAGAAGGCATCTGTGGCCTGGGACAGACCGTGTGTGCTTGGGTATCTCCTCTCCATCCCTGACATGACCATCATAGACTTACACCTTTCGGAGAATACATAAAAGCCTCAACAGTCTTCACAGATTTCAACCCATCCTCAAGCACTACTGAATGAAGGAGCAGCTCTCACAGGAAATACTGGAGCCACAGAATAAACTGCTTGTTCAATATTTTTATTTTATGGGTCTGTTTATCAATAAATGGACCAGACCTGACTGTCTTCTAAAAATATACATTCATTATAAGAGAACAAGAACTGTCTGGACATTCAAGATGACTAGAAAAGTTACTAGCATCAGCTTAGCAAAGATTAAGCCCAGCCCTGCCAGTAGTGAGTAAAGTTTGTACTGAAGTCAACCGTATCCCAGCCCCAGGTGAAAATCTGAGAACAGGTCAGTTGGTAAGTTTTCTGGTATTTGTTTTTACTGCTCTCCCTTTCTTATTTCAGTGTATGGAAGATACAATCAGTGTCTACAGCACTTGCGCTTTTAGTGTTTATGGAAAAAAGAATAATTTATGTATATAAAAAAGAAATATAACAGATCTAGAAATAAGTGTGCCCCAACTTTTGTTCAAAAAGGTCTTGTCCTTGAGTGGGACATCATGCAGGGCTGCACGACAAAGCGCTGCCCATACGCCAGGTTGGGAATCCTCTTGGTCTGTAACCCCAATAAAGAGATTTACCCTAGCAAACCCAGCAGCGCAGCCCCCCAGGAGAGCCCCTGCAGCCATTCCCATCGCCAGGCAGTGTGCCAGCAAGGCTCGGGAGAACAGCTGGCTCAGAAACACACATCTGCAAGATGCCCCAGGCTGTGCCCAAATGCTCATCTAAGCATCCAGTCTGGTCTGTGACAGCTGCTGTTGCCGCAGTGGTAAGGACACAGAGTCCTGGGGGCTTACCTGGTGAGGGTTGTGGGGAGCAGGGCTGAGCACACCACAGGAACCCTTGATCGGCAGAGCCCTCTCGTGGCAGATGAGCACACCAGAGACCCTCAACCAACCTACCCACCCAACTCAAAACTTGTCATTGCAGCTGCAGGGAGAAGCGTATTGTATTAGTGACTCAATTTCCCATAAAACCCACCTGTCATATTTTTAAGCCTCCCATTTAAAATATCCTGATTTTTACAGCAATCTCATGGTTCTACAGGGCCCAACGTTCGCTGCAATGTTTTGCAAAAGCCCTGGGGATGGAGCAGTCACACGGGCTACTGTCCTTCCCTGCCACTGGGAACACAGCAGCTCCAGGTTTGCAAACACAAGGCATCAAAAATCTCACTGCTAGGGGGAGTAGGGCAGAAAAGAGTACTCAGAGATACCTCATTGTGCTTTTATTTAAGTTTTGCTGGTCCTGAGCCTTCTTCCAGCCTTTCTGGCTTTTCTACACAATCTCATAATCAAGAGACTTAGCAAGCCCTTGAAACTGCCTTATCTATTTGCCTTTAGGATCAAAGGCTTTAAATGAAAACCTCAACCACCACAAAGCTTGCCGAATTTCTGCACATACTTGTAATGACGAGTTTACCAACTCTCTAATACCATTAGTGAGAACCTGGTCACTGAGTAACTTTCCTACAGCTTTTAAGTGATGGGACCGTCCTCTCACCCAAAAGCCTACACTGAATTCCCTTGCCTCTTCCAATGGCTGGCACTCCTCAACATCTACATTGTTGCCATAGAAATGCTTTCACAAAGATTTTCAATCCGTGTTTTCCCAAGGGAAAAAAAAAAAAAAAAGAAGTGACCAGATAAACTAGGAACTGCCTTGTAGGAACTGCCTTGTGCAATAACCTTCCAAGAACACAGGAGACAATTTCAGGGGCAATGTCCACAGGGTGGAGAAAAGAGCAAATGCAAAGCCAGCAACTAGGGCTGCTCCTCCTCATTCTTTTGGAGGAAGCAGAAGAGAAAGTGAAACAACTACTCCCAGCCTAGCCCAGAGTTTTGTCTTCCACATTACTGGATGATTTTGGGGTTCTTTTGGGGTTTTTATTTATCACGCTTAGTGCAAAAAATACCCTTTGACCATGGTGATCATCATTTTTCTGATGTTTATATCATCCAGATATGAAGTGTTAATAGCATAATACCATTAATTAATAACTATGAACAAAAGAGACTTCTTTCTTGCATACAGTAATTGCCATACTCATCTGCAGTTTAAGTATTACTGAAAAGTCCGTTTCCCATCCCTGGGACAGCACAGCCATATGGCCAACCTAACAGGATGGAGAAACACACCAGTGCCACTACCAGCCAGCAGTTCTGCACCAAATGCTCGCACATGGCTCTAACACCATTTTTAGTCATGAGGATTAAGTATAAGCATAACCTTAAGCACATGCCTAGTTTTAAAACAAAACAAATACATGCTCTGAGGTCAAATCAAGGAACAGAAATGTTCAACATTTTGAAAGAAGCAAAATGTTTCCACAAGGGTTAAAACAAAGCATTGTCTTCCCCAGCCTTTGAAAGGCCTGAATTCTGTTGCCTATCCCCCCCCACCTTTTCCAGACTTCATGACCATGTAGCCATTCATCTGGTTACCCTGCAAGAAGATCAAATCCTTGTCAGCTCAGTATCACTTCCTAGCATGGACAATGGCCCATGCCTCAGCTTTCCAAAACAGGATCTGCCCAAAATCACAGAAGTGCTGCAATTACCAATATATCAGCATCCCCCTAGGCAGCAAGGATGCAGATCTATACCCAATTAGGCAAAGCTGTCTGCTAGAAGCCCACACAAGGACAGACACCTAGATTAGTGCATAAACAAACAGCTTGCTAAAATGAAACTCCACAGATAATCATTTTGGCCAAGAAATGAGAGCACAGTGCTGTTATGTCAACAGCAGGCAGCTGCTAGGGACGTGATAAGATACATTAGACTATCAAATCTAATTTTCATAGGAAAAATGGAGAAAAAGAATCATGTGGAAAATATATCCAGTGATCCCAAAGTCACTAAAAAAATTAAACCCCCCCAAACTATAGCCACACACATGCTGCACAATAGAGAGACTGCTTAAAAAGCACCTTTACTGCAGAGCTTTTATAAACATGAGTGAGTCTCTTCGTGACTCACACTAATCTGTCTTTGTCTGTGACTCTCACTGCATGCCTTATTAGGATTACCAGTAACTGTACACATTTCTTGTAAAGAAGGAATTTCCACGCCTTGTTGATGCTGCACAGGGATGACACACAGGATATCTAAACCAAGGAAGCATCACCAAGCTGGATCTAGTCTCTGTCTACACAACAATGAAATTGCTGGGCTAGAAGATGTCAGAGGTAAAGCCTCCAGCCCTGAGCCAGTTCACAGGCTAACAGGAACATCTGATCTCACCCTAAAATGTTTTCCTCTAAGCAATTAGTTTTGCAGCTTACTTTGGCTCTTTCTTCAACCGCTCCAATCTAAATCTGTATCTTCCCTGCCACAACTGGGTTTCGCTACTGCTCATCCTTGTTCAAGACTGCGCCTTCATGACAGTTGTCTCATCACAACATCCCTTTATCACTAATGTTCCTTTCTGCGTAAACGCACCTTGACTAGCTTTCTCAACAGTATTTTTCCAAACTCTTCACCAATTTTATTGCTTTAGGCTCTCCAACTTGAATTAGAAACAAACTGCTTAGTGTAAACCAAGCCAGATTACTCCACAGAGTTTAGCCTAAATTTATCTACTATGGTTGCATCTGACACTAATATCCTAGTATTTTTTAATATGTATACATGAATGTCAAAAGGACATTTTTCTTGTATGAGAGGGGAGTGCAATGTAAAAGACAGCTGGAGAATAGTAGAGCCAGTGGCACTCACAGAGCGTGCATATGTACGTACAAGGAATGAACTCGGCAGGACAGTGATTTTTATGGCTATGTACAGTGCCTTGCTAAACAAAGCAGGAGTTAGAACAAAGTCCAACTAGTTTTGGCTAGAGGGCTGTGTTTTACTGCAGCAATTTATCCATAAGGATCTATGGATCGTTTAATGTGACCACTGGATGGATCAAAACAATGAGAAAAACCCTAAACAGACCAAGAAACCAAAACCCACAAGAATCACCACCAAAAAATCCCAGATGTTAATTTATCGCAAAATAACATACAGAAACCATAGGTTTGCTTGTTCTGGTTAAGTCATGGGCTTGTCCCACTACAGCCACTTTTAATAAAAAAAACAGTTGCATGGGGCTGACTCAGACATCATTCACGAGGCAGTGGCAACTGAAGGAGACAGGCTGCTGCAGAAGATGAGTAGCAGCAACACTGGCCCCAGATATAAAGTACCTGGAACCAAATCCTTGTTCTGCCTGAGGGAG